CTTTGTTTATTTGGTTTAGTTTACTTATAAACATAGTTTAGTGACATTTGTTCTGTTTACAAAGATTTCAAGTATTTTGTATCGATTATTTTCGCTTCGTTTATTTTGTTTATTTGGTTTAGTTTACTTATAAACATGGTTTAGGAGCCTTGTTTTTGAGTTTGAGAGTTTTTCTGCAATATCTGCAATTTGATTGGCTGTAGTAGTCGTTGCCGCAAGAAAAGATAAAAGTTGGCCATCTCTTACGACAACTTACGACAACGACCTTGGATGCTACTGCAAAGATCCTCCAGCCAATCACAGACTGTTTTGCCCCTACTGCAACTGCAACTGCAACAACTACGGCTACGTTTTAGAACTATAAATCCGGCTTAATATCAAAAAAGCACCCTAATTTTCAATCGAAAATTCTCGCGTCAAAATATCAGCTTTTTTCAAAAAGTCGGTGTGCTTTTTGTTCGATGAACTCTCTACTTTCTGATGGTGTAAAAAAAATATACATTACTATGGTGAATGTTCTCAGAAAATACAAAAAATATTATAATGAATAACGTAATCAGAATGAAGTATCTAATTAGATTTAAATTCAATAGTATGATTTACATGTATTTTTATATTTTATGAGATTTTCTGACATAAATGTTATTAGAATTTAATAAATAAACTTTTTAACTAAAAAAATTGCAACAATCACATTTTTTTGATGAAATTGTACATAATGATTAAAATAAATTTTCGAATTCGAACAAAAAGCACACCGACTTTTTGAAAAAAGCTGATATTTTGACGCGAGAATTTTCGATTGAAAATTAGGGTGCTTTTTTGATATTAAGTTAAAATAAGGCGAAATAATAAATATTTCAAATCAAATAAATTACAGTGTATTTGGGACATAAAAAGGTAAGTTTTCACCAAATTTCGTGGAAAAAATTTTTTTTTTTAAAAAGATAAAAATAAAAAACCAAAAACTTGGTAAACCTTTTTTATAGTGGAACTTGGTGTATTAAAACGCCTTGTATATCAAGTAACTAGACTTTATATTTACTTTTGTAAATAACAACGTTATTTAATTGATAAGTATTTATTTTAAACCTAAAATGTCCTCATCTTCTCACACTTTGGTGCTATGTCCAAAAATTCCTATCTATCGATCCACTGTGCGGCGTTAGCTTATTAAAGGCCAGGTGCAAAAGAAAAATGCGGGACTTGAACTAAAAATTTACTCTTGAAAATTAACACAGCGCTTAGCGGCAATAAACCACTAAAACATCAAACGAAAAACCAATTGAATGGGTTAGAGCTGAAACCGCCCAAGTGCAGTTTTAAGTCAAAATTTTTTAAGCGTGTTACCGGATAGTAGAAAATTTTGACTTAAAAATGCAATTGGGTGGTTCAGCTTTTCCCTTCAATTAATATAGAAATTAACTTTTAAGAAAAAATCACAAATATTTTTTCCCTGCTTTAGGGGAAGCTCTTTTCCAACATCCTTCTCTATTGACAATATAGCCAAACCCACTAGTCGTTATTGGCAAAATTTTGAAAAACTCTTTTCCCGGCGTAATAATAATTGTTTTAAACGGATACAGGAAACTTCAAATACACATTTAGCAACATTGGACTAAAGACATTATCTTTGGCAATGACCAGATATTATTTTGTCACACTGTGCTTACAGCTTGCCATGTTGCTAAAATGTACAATAATTTCGTTAAGACGCCTTGATGCGCGCGGGGCCTATAAAACGCGGGGCCGGGTGCAACCGCACCGTTTGCACATGCCTCACGCCGGCACTGTCTGTGGAGAAAATAAATTGTTAAAGAAGAAGAAGAAGATAATGGTTATAAATCGAAATGTATTTCTTGAAAATTGACAGTTTTTCACAGTGAAAGTAAAGAATAGTATATTACACTACAAGGGCAGAAAGTGTGAGATTCCTGCACTGCGCGCCATGATGCCCGAGGCGAAGCCGAGGGCATCATGGCGCGCAGTTCAGGGCTCTCACACTTTCTGCCCGTGTAGTGTATACTATTGTATACTACCTCGGCCGAAAATACAACCCGGCCGAAAATACGGGAAAAAATTAAATGTGTATATCGAAACCACAGACCACCAAAACAAATGGACGGATTTGTTTACGTTTAAAAAGCGAGTAAAGCATACTTTCACATTCTAAACACCGTCGAAAGAAACACGGCTTCCAACGTTGTCAGAAGTATAGATTACACGCCTTTTTGGACGTTCATCAAACATAATGAACATTAATAATTACCAGTAATTCGTTTCAATAATAAAAAAAATTGTAAAAAGGATTTGTTCATCATTTTCTTTAGATATTTTTCTCTATTTAAAGAAAGTAAATCATTTAATAATTATTAAAATTAAATATTAACAACGTTGGTAAATTCGTCATATTTGACAGCATAGAAAAAGGTTATGTTCTGTGGGTTGACAGCTTGTTGTTTTGTGTTTTCGTTTGTGTATTTCTATCGTGTTTAAGTTAATTATGGAGTTTAAATACATTATTTTTTACTAAAAATAACAATACCTACATGGAAATATCGTTTGTAAGTACCTACCTACTTATTTTTTTAATCCCAATACGTCACTGGAAGAAAACATAAAATTCTATCGCCAATTTAACGCTTAGACTGTGACCGTTTGATGACGTCACTGGAAGAAAACATAAAATTCTATCTCCAATTTGACGCTTAGACTGTGACCGTTTGTTGACCGCAAACAAATCATTGTTATTGAATGGAATGGCAATGCGCCGTCCATTTGTTTTGGTGGTCTGTGATCGAAACATATTGATGCCTGCCCAAATTTTGAGGTTATATTAGTGTCGTAATCAGAGTTGCATATGTTGAACACACGACTAAAAAATTTTTACTCACGCTATTATAGAGTGTCCGCGTATAGCTTGACCAATGCAAGAAACGTAAACTTTCTGCCGTGGAATCGGGGAAGAAACAACGTATTTTCAGTCGACGTAGTAAGAAAAATGTTTTATGAGCACTTTACAGTGGAGTCCGTGCCCGAATTTAAGTTATAGTTTACTGCCGGCGAAGTACAATGTTCATATAAACTTTTCAATTATTGGCGTTGAGAAATTATTTAATACTTTTGTATTTTTGTATTGAGATAATAAAATAATTTTCACATATAGTATTATTTTACAAGAAAGGCAATTTATTTTAACTATTGTATGACATTTGACAACTGTCAACTAACTTAAAACTAACTTCAGCCCGTGACTAAAAACCTGTTGCTAACTTCAGCCCGTGACTAAAGCGCCATAAAGCCACAACTTGTCAATGAAGAGACTGGTACATTAAATTTACCTGCTCGGTAGTGTCACTGTTTTCACTTGTAAGTTTGCTTAATACTCTGCTCTGCACTATGTTATATGCGATTTAATGTTTTTATAAAGACTTCGGGTGACAGGTACAGTAATTTTAGCTGCACAGGTAGGGCCAGGGAAGCCCTTTTATAATCTGGCAACACTGTTCTAGGACAATTTGGCTTGTTTTACAAAGTTTAGGTAATTTTTTAGAAAGTTTATAGATGGTATTTAGTCAGTTAGTTAGTTAAACAAGAATAAAATAACCAACTAACATTTTTTTTACATATCGATACCTTAAGACACACATATTGTAAGTCTATAAAGGTACATTAACAATATTAGTGATCAAAAATCAATTTCATAAACTTCAAGAAATTAGTTTTTTTTGGCTCTTCTAAAAAGTTTTATTTTTTGACTTACAACATGAGCATCTTATCAATATCTCAAAAACAGTAAACACTAAACACAATTTTATTAAAAAAAAATTACCTTGTGTGTAAATGGGAAGAAAAGTAATACCAATTTTGTCAACACATAAGAAGTATCAACAGCAAAATAATATTTCAACTTTGAAACTGGAACATATCTTTCTACTTCTTGTTGAATTCTTTCTTTACCCACTCCAGCAAGCTAAAGATATGTAGGACAATAAAATATATTTTAAAATATGTAAGTTTAATTACCTGTTGTCCATATTGCAATGCAAAATCCTGTACGGCAGACTGCCCCAAAACATTTGGCACCTGAGCAGCTACAGGGTTTAAATATTGAGCTTGTGGTTGTGTAGTTTGATTATAGTGATACCCCATTTGAGTTTGTGGTTGCGGTGATTTATTTTGCCCGAAATCCTGCGTATAACCTGGCGATGAATTGCTGTAATCCACTACAAATAAACAAACAAATAAAAATCATTGTTTACATATTTTCTACTTACTTTGTTGAAAACTACTATTGGAAGTGGATAAGTCTGAGTTTACGTTTGTATATACATTCTGCGGAGTGTTCCCCTGCTCGTAAGGGTTGTAACCCATTGAATTAACATCGGTAACCCTTTTTATTTTACGACCAAATGCTAAAAATCATTTTAGGTTAAGATATTTATGCAAGATTTGTAATAAAAACTTACGCGGTCGTGCCCCTGTGTTAGCGTTGTAATTCATTGTCTTTTACTTCTTTAAGATTACATTAAAATAATTATAATGTGCTTATGAACCTATAAAAATAAATTAAGACACGTCACTGGTACATCTGACATCTGTCAAGGTATAAGCTAATTTTTAAATGCAATTTTCCAGCCATTCTAATATTAAATATGGATTTTGTAATTTATTTTAATGTTTTTCTACTACCCCAGATAAAATTTTGCTGCTTTAATTTACTGATAATTTAAATAAACGATGGTTTAATTTATTTTGGTTGGTATTTCAAATAAATCAATGTGTTTCATCTTCTTTTTTATAGATGTCGCGACAAAATGTGTCATTAGTTTGTTCTAGTGTCCACGAGATGCGAAATAATTAATAAAATTATTAAATTATAGTTAATTCTAGTAGCAGGTCAATTTTTTTCTACTTAAGAATAGATGGCATCCGATAAAAAAATAACCGTAAAAAGAAACCATAACATAAACGTAAATTGATCATTAGGTTCCTAACGTCAGATGCGAATATCTTTGTAGTGCGCTTTGACAGTTTGACAAGTAATAACAATCGTTTAACAATGTAAGTGATGTCTTGGTGCATTCTCGGTTAGTGAATAGTGAAAATGTTGTCTTTTCTTCGAAATCATTGAGTTGATAGAGTGAAAATGAGTGAAAAACCGAGCAAAACATTGACCGGGGCGGGGGCTTCAGCTCCAAATAAAATGAGACTTTACGCCACTGGAGTTGATAGGACACCTTCCAATTGCATTCCCAGGTAAGATTTATTATTTTAAAGCAAGTTTAATTCAAGATAAGACAATACAATCGCGTTTGAAGGGTGCTCTTTGTTTGTTTCCATATAATGTTTACATTCATATCAATTGTTGCTACAATTTATAAATTAAGTTTTTTATTATGCGCAATTTGTATTCATATCATCATATTTAATTTAAATTCTACTCTGCAACATCAAAAATTTGTTATACAGAGTGATACTTTGTTTCTTGAAACTATCTTTGGAAAATGATCTCTATAGAAAGCAATAACCCAATAAGAGCTTAGCATTCTCCACAGCAAACTAGGGGCCATGGTTAATTGCTTTCTATAGAGATCAATTACTATAGAAAGTTAAGTCAGAGGTCTCTGGTTAAGTCTCAAATTTCAAGAAACACCACCATGATATTTTTTCGATTCTTGCTTATTTTTTGATTCTTGCTTATTTAGAGAATACATTTTATAAAAATTAAGTGGTAGCAAAAGGCATATATCTTTTTAAAAATGCCTTTTATTTCAGATTATGCTCGCTTACACTTACCAGGATAATTCTCCTAAAACCTCTGGGGGCAGATTTGGCTTCCATATCAATAGCAGTGAAAATGCAGTCAAGCAAACGCACTTTACGATCCCATGAATTAAATTTGCCTCACGGAGGTCTTTTGGATCAACCGTTGGACATGACTTTTTGTCTTCAGTATCCGCATTTTTTGAAAAGAGAGGGCAATAAGTTGCACGTTTTGTTGCAGAGAAGAAAGAAGTACAAAAATCGAACCATGTTGGGATTTAAAACTCTTGCAGAGGGAATCATCAGAATGGATCAGGTGAGTTTTAAGTTCCTTTTTTTTCTATGATTTTTGTATTGTTTTTTTAATTATACTTACATTGAAAAAAATTATTAAATGAACTAAATTGTTACAAATTATTGTGCAATTTATGGAAATCAATGCATTTAAAATAAATATTACTACAATTTTTTTAATAATTATTACCTAACTTTGTTATTATGGAAACTACAAAGTTGGTTAAATAAGCAAATTTGTGGCATTTTTTTCTCTTGATTATTTCCCTCATTATAATATGAACCAATCAAAAGCCTTGAATTTTCGAATAAATAAAGTTTTAACAAACATTTTTTAAAAAACAATAAAAAATAAGTTATCTAGTTTACGAAATATCAATTATTACTTATTACATACCTTAAATTAATGGAAATTTCTTTAAAAAATATTTATAAATTTTGACACATACGTCAGATTTTATGAATTGTCAAATAGTTTCCTTTAATTCGAGAAATAATCTAGACGTATATCACTCAACCTATAAATTTAATCTGTCAAACTATGCTCAGTAATTTTTTTATTTGATTTTTGTTTTTGGAAAATAGTTTCATGCAAAATAATTAAAAATAAAACCCCTCGACCGCTACGCGGTCTCGTGATTTTATTAAATTATTTTGCATTCAACATTTTCCAACAAAAACCAAACAAAAAACTACTGAGCCTACTTTAACCGATTAAATTCATAGTTCTCGTAATATAATATATGATTAAAATGGCAAAAACAAAAACACAATAGAACACCCTGTATATTTTTACATATTTTAAAAGACAATTTATCTTAACGAAAAATTATTGCACAACTACTATAAACTTAAAAATAAACAATTAATAAACTTAAAACTTTCTGATTGTAGTTAAAATAAAGTAATAATTTGGTCTCAAATTTGGTTATTTTAACAACCATCAGAAAGTTCATGTGCTTATTAATTGTACATTTTTAAGTTTAGGGTAGTTATGCAATAATATTTTTTTGTTTCAAATTAAATTGTTTTTTAAAATATGTAAAATTATACCTCATTCAAAAAATGTTATTTTTGTGAATAATTCGGAAACTTGACGTTCAATTTTTCGGAGTTGGAATGGTAGCAATGGCAGATAATAAATAGATCTTTCTACTGTATAAATTGTAAATTTATCTTTATTACTGAATTGTAGGTGTATAATGTTTGTTATGTAGGTACCTACATAATGTCAATTTATTGTTAAAATTACACCAACTATGAGGATGAGTTATTATCCTCCACTAATCTCCCAAAGTTATTTTACCCCCCTTCCGTTCTCCTGCGTATCCCGCCAAATCACAGCATTACCTGTGTTTGTTGGATCCGAAGTTTTTACGCCGGCAGGTAGATCCACCCTAGGAGGTCGTGGATGACAGTGCCTATGGTTAAGGCCGCTCCACGGATTTTTGTCAGCCGGGTCGGGCCATGCGTCCAATTTAGGAAGGGTTTTTGGAGGACATTGAACTGACCCAAAACTAAGTACAATCCGGAATCCTCCTCAACCTGGGTCTTAGTAATAAGTTATTACTAATAACCCCATTCAATTGGGATTCATGAATGGGGGACCCCCATTGGGGGTAGAAGTGTTAGTACGCTGCTAGAACCTGTCCTTGTTGGTGTATTTCTAAACATCTCTGTCTGAGTCATTATCAGGTTCCTGGTAACCTCTTTAGAATTGGTTGCCCCCCTGTGTGATACTGAGTCTTGTCTTCCGTACCGAAGTGTTGGCGGCCATGAAACACCGTAAGTGCCCTCTGCCTTGGTGGATATTCCTCCTGCCGGCTACCAACCTTGTATATTCTTTATTTATTTTATTGTTAAATTAGTGTTTATACCGTTTTCATTTAATTTATATCTTTGCATTCTTACTTTTTTTCCAAATTTAATTTAAAAATATAAATATTAATATAAAAAATAGATAAAGCCGGCCCTGTAGTGTACGGAATTGGAATGCGGCCATATGACCTGAATTGGCTATTGAGAGGGTCGTTCTTCTTATCTTCTGTGATGTTCTTGTATTTTTTGAGCTTATGTTTATTTGGCTTTGATTTATGGCTGGTCTTAAATGCATATAGGTACAATAATACCTATTAACACACAACACTTATTTATGATCTAAATTTTTTGTCATCTTGCTTGATTTGGTTTATTTACTCTTACGCTTTTTTCAATTTGGTTAAGTTGTTTATGGTTTGTCTCCTCTGAGAAAATGAGGTTGTTAGTTTAACACTTACGGAAATGTTATCTTATTATTATTTTTTAAAATTTAGTTTTTGGGACAAATAAAAAGAAATCTTAGACAAACAATCAGAGCTTATATTAGCTTTATTGAAATCTTTGTACATTTTTGTAGTAGTAAAAATGTATATTCAAAAACTGTACGAGTTTAATTTAAAGACTGTAGGTATCATTCGACTTTTAAATAAACATTTATGCGCATTGGTCGTATTGAATGTACCCAAAACTGTTCATTTAATTAAAACTTAAAATAGTTTACTTTTCTCAGTGTAGGGACCTGTTTGATTTCTGAAGCCAGATGACATTTTTGGCAACCTTGCGATTTGCGTATATAAACATTTAACGATTAAATTATATCAGAATCGAATTGGTACTGTTATTAGGTCATGCAATTAGGAAAATTACTTAGCTGAACTAGTTAGATTCTGCCTTCCTATCCCTAGCGGACAGACCGCGCTCCTCGGCCCTGCCGATTGTGATGACCATACATGTGATCAGGAGCGGTCAGGCACGACGCTACAGCACTTTGTGACTTAACCAGGGGCCACCCGCACTTTTTAAACTTAGTATTATTTCCTTTCTTTTAGCCCTTGGATCCGTTATCACGTGCAGAATCGACATTGATTCCTTTTTGTTACTTGAACTTTAGCGGCGACGGCATTACTAAAAGTATCGAATTTGGTCAATGGGGTTGGAAAATGATGTTAAAAATTAAGAAAGTACATATATTATAGAGTCACTTAAAACCATATATCTATCGCACAACAGATTTTTGTTATAAATTTTTTCTTTAAAATACTTTCAAAATCTATAAATTCTCTCGGTAGTCTCTAGGTAACGTCACGATGTTATAATATAAATAATAATAATATTAATAATCTTTATTAGTGCTAATACAATACAAATTGTTTACAACGTCAGATAAAATAGGAAATAGAGAAATGAATAAATAAAATATAATCATGTACAAATACATTAAATTTAAAAACTTACATAATATAGGTAAATATATAATAAAAACATTAAAACTTGTACTCAAGATACTCGTTTACAGAATAAAACCCGTGTCTTACAAAAAAAGATTTTATATATGTGACCTGGACTACGGAAAGGTACCTCTGGTTAGAAATCAAGTTTTTGAGAAAACAGCTGTTAAAGATCGTATCCGTTAAAGTCGTATCCGTGCGTCGCGTTTGTATTTGCGCTTCTACCTCTTATTTTTTCGTCTTACCCTTAGCTATCCACTTCTCTTTAGACTTCCACTATACAGTGGTGCTTTTACAATAAATATTTTTGTACCTTATTCAAGTGATTTCCCATAAATAGCTAATTTTGTGAACGTTGAAAAAGTTGGAATAATACGTGCTGCATTTCTTATCATTCTATTTTCGAGATCGTGGTTTTTCGTTGTTATGCAGCTAATTTAAAATTGTTTTAGTTTGTGAAAGTGCAGAATCGATTTAGAAGAAGAATTTAAAGCAGTGGAGAAACAATATTTTGCGGATTGTGATGAAGATTACGAAGATCAAGGTGGAGGTGCAGGTGTTAGTGACATAGAAGATGACGTACCAGATTCGTCTTTCAATATGTCTCTTTAGGATATTGACGAAAATAAAAGATCAAAAAAAGCAATTCTTGATCTATTTACAATTTTTTTTGCGATTTTTATAATTCATGTTGAACTTTAAGGATGATTTCCAGCAAAAGTTTCAAACTTAGGAATCTGCGGTTTGTTCCATTTAAAAATACGTTCAATTTTCTATAAATTTCGACCAAAAAACAAAAATTGATTCTTCCAACCATAGGTACCTTTCTATAGTCCAGGTCACATATAGTTTAAATTCCTTATAAGCCATATTTTTTATGTTGATTGGTTTAAAATCAGGACCACTTTGGCATTTATTGAGCCTGGAAAATTGATTTACAAGCTGGTTTTTATTCCTTGTGTTGTATTTATAAAAACTATCATGGCTATGTTACAAATTCAAATTATTTTTAACTTAAAGTAAATTCTGAAGAAAATATAAGGAGGGTACTGTTAAAATTCCAAGATTACCAAACATAGCTCTACAGTCGTCCTGTAACCAAGAGAGGCGATGATCCTTACCTACTACCTTGCGTTGAAGACCGAATATTTTATAACACTCCGCAGAGTGACCCCAAACAATTAGAGCGTAAGATATATGCGACTCAAATAGCGAATAATATGCACTTAACATTACGTCACTAGAGACACTACTAACTAAATTACGCATGACAAATATAATGGTGCTTAATTTTTTGGATAACGCATCAATATGGCAAGTCCATCGTACTTTGTTGTCTTATATGATTCCCAGAAATTTTACTGGTTTAAGTGGGTATTCATCCTATAGGTCTTAAAGAAAAAAATAAGATTTTGTGTTTTTTCTTTGTTTAAAACAAGTCTATTACTGGTAAACCATAGCTCAGCCTCTGACAGTGCACGCTCACTCTCCTCATATAGGAGTTCAATATCTGAATGTTTCAATATTATTGTGGTATCATCAGCAAAAAGTGTAAAACCCACCGAGCCCCTATTGCAGCACAAGTCATTAATGAAAATTAAAAACAGAATTGGGCCAAGAATAGAACACTGGGGAACCCCAACTCGCAACTCCGTCCTCTGACTCACCCTGCCTTCAACTCTACACACTTGATACCTATTTGCTATGTAGGACTTAATGAGTTTTACACCTTTCGCTGAGAAGTTGTAAGCCTCTA